GAAACAGGCCTAGATATATATTTATATTAGAGTACAAAATAATTAATTATTACGTTTTTATTTTGTGTAGGTATCAATTTTATTTAATTATGTGAAAAAGTTCTAATAGCGTACAATATGTGGACGTTGTTTTGTAAAAAAGAAAGGGCGAAAAAAATCATGTACATTTCGTTGTGTATACATATCCTATCTTAGTAAGTATACAGGGTGGTTCCTAATAACTATTCTCCTTCCAAATAATGGAACCCTTCTTTCTAATTATGAGAAAAAGAGATAATGGACAAGACTTGTAGAATGTATTTTTAAAAGAAATAGATGTGAAATTTGGAAATAGTATTTAATAATTGTGTAGATAACGACCGTCAGTCAGAAGATGTGGAAAATTGATGGAGGAGGTTGGAATGGCCTTTTAGGACATTAAAAAGGTGTCTTAGGTGGGGACAAATGGATCGAGACAGGCGATGAAGGTGATCAAAAATTTGTTGAAAAAGAAACAAATATAACCTTTCTTAATTCTAATCTAAAGTAGCACAATAAAAATTTGTAGCCTATGTTACGTTCCTCATTCGGTATTTCATATCCACCCCCTATGCTTCCACCCTTCTGCCTCCAACTAAAAACACTTCTTTAGTGTTGTACAAGATATTCTCTAGCTCCTTCACGCATTTGTCCCCCCCTACTGACGGTCGCCTAGTCTACACAGTTAGATAAGTTGTCTCAATGTCTTTCCTCCTCAATCTGTGAAGGAGTTTCATCATCTGTTCAGTCTCAAAACTTGGATTAAGTTTGAATTGTAGTTGGTGCCACCTTGTATTTTTATAATGACTGATGAAGAACATAAAGAGACGAGAAACGTAACGGTAATCTATTCACTAATTATTTTTAAGTAAAACAAATGGTTTTTGTATATACAGGGCAGGGAAAGCTATTTGGATGGTATTAAATAGACATCATCTTTGTCTTTAGGTGTGCTTCTTTGCTTTTTTAGTGCAATTCGCACATGTGCTTTTTCGAAAATTAAGAACGCATGGGCACAATTGATTTTTGAGCAATGCACCTGCGTGAATTATAGTAAAAATGGCAAAGAAATGCACTTTAACAATTATCTGGTAGATATTTTTTGTTAATGTGAAAATAGTCCATTGTATGTTCTTAAAAAAAGAAAAGACATCTACGTACCTAATTTTTCGTACTTAAAAGAATGATTCACTATAGCTATATTATATTTGTACATATTTATACGTATACTTTCGATATTGTTAGAATGTGAATTAATTTATCGCTGTTTGATCGATTTTTCACTGCCTTAACCATTTTTCATCATATTATGCCATCATTTGCACTTTACAAATAATTTATTACAACATGTTAAAGTATTATACAGAGTGTTCTAAGTTCGAAATGACACCAGAGCAAAGTTTTTGGAAAATGTAGGATGTCATGCAAAAGAAAGGTTGCTACAGAGTAAAAGTAACAGGTTTATAAAATAATAATAAATGCTGTTTGAGTTGTTATTCTGTAAAAATCTTTCTTTTAACATAGTGACAAAAACTGACTTTTTGTTCCTGAAGTTTAGAACACTTGTACATATTTTGTGATTTTTATTAACCGGTTCGGTAAAACCTGACGATGCTTCTCCATTATTTTGAAAAATATGTGATGTAAAAGGAAAGCTAAGCAACTGCCACTTTGTACAAATGAAATTTATAAAATGAAAGACTTTTATTTAAGAAAGGCAAATATAACATAACAAAAGAAATCGAAATTAATGGAACCAGAATTAAAATTTGATTACCTTTTTTCGTAAATTTATAAAAAAGAAAAAACATTGGGAGCTTTAATAAGTAATTAAATACATTAATAAAGAAATATAAAAATTTTATTGTTGAATAAACTTTTTTGCAACTTATATAACATACTCGTTTATATGCAACAGTATTGTCAAAGTTTATTTAACAATGTTAAAAGGCATTTAATAGAGAATATTTACGGTTAATGATTAAAGCCTTTTTCTTTCCATATTTTTATGTTATTTTCTTTTATTTGGTGTATGTAGCTTTACACTCGTTGTTAGTTGTACACATCACTCATTAGGATTTAAGGACTTGAGAATGTCTCGTTCTCGATATTTTTTGCTGTCCAATTTGTTGAAAGGTGTATTTAATTTTAATAAAGATATAATATAATTTAGATAAATTTATACGCACTGTAAATTCTCATAGACTAAACTGATATGTGGTATTATTTTTCGATATTAAATGCTATATTATTTCTCATAAGTTTTATTTATTATCGTTATCAAAAAAAAAGGCTCATACGATATTCTTTCCGCCATATATTTCATAATTTCAAAAAGCTTATTTTAAAGATTTGCCCAGTTTAAAATATAAGGTACGTCACTGTAATTTATTTGAATTTATTTAAAAAGAGCTAGGCAACCCATTTCTCTTACGTGCTGGACAAGGTATCGGTATAAGGTGCTACACAATCTAACTTACTAAAAAATTAATAAATATCATTATATGTTATTAATTTATTAATAATATGTTAAAAACTAATAAAAAAATTAACAAATAGTAAACCACTAAAAGTTTAAGTAAACACCCATATTATTCCTTTTAAATGTAGAAATTAATGTGTTATAGAAATTATCAATTTTAAATTGATTATTTTATTTTACTTTAAGGATTTTTAAAATGAATTATCTTATTATTTAAAATGCTAGAACCTTTTTTGCAGTTATTGTAAGAAACAATTTCCTAAATGCATAGAAGAATTACAAAACCGATATTGTTGCGACATCTGTTATGGAGTTGTTAAAGCATTTAATCGACATCAACATGTTGAAAGAAAACGAAAGGACCGTTAAAAAGAGTAAGAAATAAACATGGCTGTCAAGACTGTTAAGTAGGGTGTACTGCACTGTAAAATATTCCAATAATCTTTTAATTCGGTCAATAAAAAATATTAATGTTTCGGTTACTAAATATTGACTTAACCTTTGATAATTTAGGATGAAGTGTTATGTGACGGTGTGTGAGACTACAGTGAATTAATTAGTTGCATTATTGTGCATTGTTTTTATTTATTGATAAAGTGAATTTGTTGTAAACTGTATTAAAAGGTAATGATTTTCAAGCCATGGGTGCTCAGAACACCAAGGAAAGGACAATTTCTGTTGGAACTCATTCAACAAGAACGACTAGAAACAGGCCTAGAGCTCTTAAAGATGGGCGACAGATTGTATCTAATATTTTCACAGAACATAGTGGTATGAATCATTTGCTCTTTTTTATTTTATTCATTATCGTTCAATTCATGACAAAATCACCATCAGCTGCTTCTTTCTACGTTACACGTCGTGTTACATAAAACAATAACTAGTTATTACTCGTAATTTTGTTCCATTCAGAAATACAATATAATGTAACTACCCATTCTAAATAAACAATTAATATTGAACATTAGGTAATTTTACCCTGTCTAGAATTGGGGTGGTTAACAAATAATTTTAATTAACTACGTATAAGAAAGAAATACAATGCATGTCTGACATGTCAGAACAAGTTTAAATATGATGGAACTTGGCAGAACCAAAAAAAGACAAAAAAATATTGAGATATTAAAACTAGTTTTAGTTCAACGTTTATTGAACCGTATTTTTACAAAGCTAGCAATTACAAAAAAAATGCATTAATCTTATTGTTCATTATTTGCAACTACATATTAGTCTTATCTTTATTAATAGCATAATAAATATTAACATTTGTTAAGTACAAATTTTTAATCATAAGCTACATGTTTATATCGATTAGGCTTTATCCCCTACTGAGATCATCTCCCATGTGTTAAGAGCGATTTTGCATCTTGTGTAGTAAAGCACAATTATCCTAGATAGATGCATATTAAAAGAACATAAATATATTTTGTACTTTGCCTATAAAGCAAATAACAGGAAACAATGCAAATGTGAGAGATTATTTTTTGTAGGTATATTATAATTTTTAACTAATTAGGAATAAAAGTAATTTTGTTAATATAGGTACCTAGGTACTTAGGTATCTATTGAACTTTATTTAAACTACGGATATAAAGTTAAAGACCTATGTAGAAAGCATAAAAATAAAAACAAGTATAGATCGTAACTAAAATTTAGTTATTGCATAATAAAAGCAATTAAACGTTTAATGCTCTCATTACTTACTCTTTATAGAACATAAAAACAATTTTTAAGTTATTAGGTTTTTAGCTCCCTCTAATTAATTAATTATTATGTCTATCGGTATTAAGTAAAATGTTTATTTTTAGTAGTTGTATTTTTATTAACACTACAACTATTGAAGGTAATATTTTGTATCTTATCACAAACAGATTCTGACAAATATAGATAAATAATTAAAACTTATCATTAAATTAATTATCAGTATGCTAATTACGATTATACTTATGTATTATACATTTAGCAAATGCATTGTGTACATAAAAAAAAAGTACATATGCATTACAAATTGCAATGGAATTAGAATCAAGTTCGAACTAGGTACCTATTGCGTGAAGGTCACAATTTTATTTTGTAAATGACGAACTCAAGAAATAAAATTGTATAAAGTATTTTCTATTATATCTAACTATTTAGCCAAGACTTAATTTACTTTCCTATAATAGAAACGTACTGTAGGTAGGTACACCGTTTTAATCATGCATTCCTATCATAGTTTTCGCGTTAATGTTATTTAAATCTTACTATTAAGTCTCTTGTTATTCATTCTTCTGTTTTAAAATAAATACAAGTGCAGGTCAATTAAACGGGACTATTGCCAAAAACACACCCCGCAAATAATGTTGTCATTGATGACTTTCAATATACAGGGTGAGTTAATAACATTGTGTCCTAATAGGTGGATAAAAAAAAAGGAGGAAAGTAATAATTATTTAATTTGCTTTTTGTTTTATAATAATTAGTTATGAAAGGCTTTAGAAGATACTTAGAATGAATAATATACAGTGTGTATTCTTTATAATTTACTTCACAAAAGCATGAGACCCTCGTTTGTTATGTCTGTGGTTTTCTGTTTTAGTTCTACTAAAAATTTAGTCCTTGAACTTTGAGCTACTTTTTGAAATGTAAATCGGTATTGTACAATGGAATTTCTTTTGTAAAATACATGGAATATTTAAACTTAAAAGTGATAGGGAGGTTATAAAGGCTAAAAGAATTGAATGGAATTTTGCCTTCGTTCTCGCTTAAAGGTTTTGTAATAATTTTTAATAAGTCAAACAATTTAAAATCTTAAAAAGCATAATTTAGTTAAAAAACAACTAAACTATAAACTATAATTATTGTTTAAGGATGTTTGGGAGGTACATTAGGTTTTGCAGCATATCATGAGGTAAATAAATACTATCTATACAAAAAAAAAAAGTATACGGTTTGACAAAAAATTTTGATTTTGGCCAACAACTTTGAATAAAATAAGAAATAACAAATAATATGGAAAATTTTTAACTGACTTTTGGCAGTGAATATGCCTTGATTTCAACTTCGAAACAAAAAAATATTTAGTTTCAATCTCTATTAATAATGAGCGTAAAACTTTTTAATATGTTTAAATAATAATTAAAACTTTAAAATTGCATTTATTTCAGACAATTATAAATATTATCATTATATTATCAAATAAAAACGAAATTTTCAGCTAATTTTTCATTTTTTCGTCGATAATCATTTAGTAAATTTGGATAACCTTACGCTAAAGTGATTCTCCAGAGTTCAAGTTTCTGGTAGCTTTTTTCTGTATTATAAATTTAATCTGTTCGGTTAACGAATGTTCATAAAATGACGTGTAAAATTACAATATTTCAAAATTTCAATAACTTTTTAACGTTTAGTGAATCGATTTGTAGTTTTTACAGTTTTAGAATTGAATGAGGAACGTTCTTCCAAATTTTTGTTTGTCTCGTAGCATTTTGACATACCCCCGAAACATCCTTAACATAATAATTCAATTTTCAAAGAAATAATTCCTGATCCATCTACAAACTAATTTAGCCCAATAGAGGAACGGTCTTCATTTCAATTGAGTTCATTAGTTAATTCAACAAGTCGTAAATGATGTCACAAGTATTGCAGTTGCATTACAGGGTGTCTTCAAAAAAATTAAACCTGAGTTCAGGGGCGTCAGACCGGTAATATTTACAGAGGCAATCATCAACACATTAAGTTATTACATACGTATATCAAGCTAGCACTGCAAAGTTATATTTATCATTTCTAAAATGCGCCACAGTTTGTCTCTAATTAGTTACCAAATTCAAAAGTTTATCGCCTCAGAAGTTTGCTAACAAATAGGCGAAATGCCAGTCTGATATTAATCTGGCACTACACATAGCGTATTTCGAAATAGAAATGGTGCAAAGAAATACTGTAAGAGCTATAATCTATAGCTAATTTGTCGCCGAAAAATGGTACTTTTTCCCATTTCGTTGCGAGTCCATCCGCGAGCTGATTAGCGAAAAACAATTGGGAGCCATCAAGCTGGTACTACACAGCATATCCCGAAATAGAAAACTCTGTAAAGATTATAATTTGTCTCTAATTTGTCAGTATTTTTCTATTATTTTTCGCTTGCGAGATGTGCTATGTGCAGGGACAGCTTGACTGGACTGCTCTCCAATCGTTTTTCGTTAATCAGCTCGAGGCTGGACTCGTTACAAAAATGGTAATGGTATCGACTTTCAGTGACAAATGAGTTACAAATTATAGCCCTTACAATATTCTTCTGCGCTATTTCTGTTTCAATATACGCTACGTGTACTGCAGTTTAGCAGCGACAAGATATGTAAAAGTACCATCATTCAGCGACAAATTAGCTACAAAGTCCCTATAATATTTTTCTACTCCATTTCTGTTTCCATGTAGTGTAGCTTGGAGGATAGGCTGGTGTTAAATGGGTAAAAGTACCATCCATAAGCGGCAGATCAATTACATATTGTAGCCCCTTGACGTACAGTATGCGTAAGGCTGCTTGGACTATATACTAGCGAACGAATCCGGAAAAATCCCGTCATTCAGCGACAAATTAGGTTGAATAATATAGTCTTTACAGTATTTTTCTACGCTGTTTCTACTTGGACAAACTAGGTAAAAGTACCATCATTCAACGACAAATTAGTTTAAATTTGTAGCCCTTACAATATATTTCTACTCCATTTTTATTTCGACGTACAGTATGCGTAGGGCAGCTTGGAGGATATACTATCGACAGAATAGGGTAAAAGTACCGCCATTCAGCGACAAATTAGGTTGAATAATATAGCCCTCACAGTATTTTTCTACGCTGTTTCTACTTGGACAAACTAGGTAAAAGTACCATCATTCAACGACAAATTAGTTTAAATTTGCAGCCCTTACAATATGTTTCTACTCCATTTTTATTTCGACGTACAGTATGCGTAGGGCAGCTTGGGGGATACACTAGCGACAGAATCGGGTAAAAGTACCATCATTTAGCGACAAATTAGGTTGCATAATATAGCTCTTACAGTATTTTTCTACGCTGTTTCTACTTGGACAAACTAGGTAAAAGTACCATCATTCAACGACAAATTAGTTTAAATTTGTAGCCCTTACAATATATTTCTACTCCATTTTTATTTCGACGTACAGTATGCGTAGGGCAGCTTGGAGGATATACTATCGACAGAATAGGGTAAAAGTACCGCCATTCAGCGACAAATTAGGTTGAATAATATAGCCCTCACAGTATTTTTCTACGCTGTTTCTACTTGGACAAACTAGGTAAAAGTACCATCATTCAACGACAAATTAGTTTAAATTTGCAGCCCTTACAATATGTTTCTACTCCATTTTTATTTCGACGTACAGTATGCGTAGGGCAGCTTGGGGGATACACTAGCGACAGAATCGGGTAAAAGTACCATCATTTAGCGACAAATTAGGTTGCATAATATAGCTCTTATAGTATTTTTCTACGCTGTTTCTACTTGGACAAACTAGGTAAAAGTACCATCATTCAACGACAAATTAGTTTAAATTTGCAGCCCTTACAATATGTTTCTACTCCATTTTTATTTCGACGTACAGTATGCGTAGGGCAGCTTGGGGGATACACTAGCGACAGAATCGGGTAAAAGTACCATCATTTAGCGACAAATTAGGTTGAATAATATAGCTCTTATAGTATTTTTCTACGCTGTTTCTGCTTAAACGATAAAATAGGGTAAAAGTACCATCATTCGGCGACACATTAG